TTAAAAGACTGATTCTTATAATTACACAGTGGTGAACCGTCAGGGCCTTCAAGGTATTCAGAGAATACCCTGGAACACTCAGATAAAACAAACAAAAAATCGATTTAATTATATAAATAAAATGTAATAAAATGTATATAAAATGAATAAATGAGAATCGTATCCGTGTTGTTGACCTGTAATATTACAGTGTTACGTTGATTTGTTTGTCCTTCTCGGACCATGCACTACGCATTTCAGTGGTGGTGTGTTAGAAAAGAAAGCAACCAATCAGATCTTGTTCTGGGTCTCTGGGTAGAATATCCTTCACCAAGGTATTCTACATCCTTGATCGAATGCCCTGGCCCTTACACTGAAGGAGAGCGTACGTTTGGACTGACAGTTTGATCAACCAATCATATATTGATTTGTAGCCAATGGGCGTATTCTTCAGAGTTTCCCTCGGTTCCAGGGTATTCTAGAAGGCCCGCTAGTTAACTGGCTCGAGACAGAGGATCTAGATGAATGCGACGAAGCAATTCATGCCGTTTTATTGTTTTTAACGTTGAAATGACAAGTGCAACAGGTGAAGAGGAAGTTGTTGCGGAATTGTCGTGAGTACCCTTTTCAAGACGACAATTCAGTGAAAAGACGGACATTATAATGAGGGGGGGGAGGGGCGGCGGCGGGGGGTGGGTGTGTCTATAGAAGGTCCAGTTGTGATGGCCACGGTTCGCCACTGTTATTACATTATATGCTTATTGTGCTCATGAGATTGCTATGACTATAGAATAAATAGACACAATCACTAATCCCAGGTTCTGATGGGTTAGATACCAACGAGGGGAATAGTCAGAAGAAAGTTTTAGCTTGCAATAGAAAGTAGCAGAAGCCATATGCAGGCACCGTAGAAACAATTGAGTTATTGAGGCTATGGCCTTGGCCGCCTGGGTTAGCTCCGTGCCCACGCATAGCTGGGAATCAGTATAACCAAGATTACACTTTTCTGTAGAAGCTTCTTCAAAACAAATTACGTATGATGGTGCCAGAGTAGGGAGGGACTTCGCACGAGGTTCGAGGCTCTTGACGGATTTGGTGGTTACAGATTACAGCCTTGGCCAAGTAATATATATATATTTAGCTCTCTTTACAATAAATAGTTAAACTTAGAAGTTGTCTGTCTTTTCTGGAATTCTGAACCCAACACACCCAAGACAATACAGCAGACCCTACAGTTCCAAAAACCGACAACGGAGAAAAGAAAGAGAGAGAGATAACAGATGCCATAGTAGATTTCATCGCTATGGATATGAGATCATTTACATAGTCGAAGGCTTCAGAAAATTAATGAAGAAGATGGAGCCCGACTACACTGTCCCCAAACGCTCCAGTATTTTAGATGCCATGTCTCTGAAGTACAGCGATCACTGAGACCAAATTGTAACTCATCGAAAACTCAACTGCCGTAAGTTTTACAACGGACATTTGGACCTCGTTGTGTATGGAGGCGTACATGGCTGTCACCTGTCACTTTATAACTCAGGAGTGGGAACTCTGTAACTTCGTATTGGAAACCAAAGTAATGGAGGTGAATTATACGGGAGTCAACATTGCAGAACAGCTTGGAGAAGTGGCGGACGCCTTTGCCATTCCAAATTACAAGCGAGTAGCCGTTGTTCACGACAATGCCAGCTACATGAAGCTGTGCACAGAGACGCTGAAGAAATTACCGGAGAACTGGGGCAACGTACAAGTAGTCTACTGCTCAGGACACACGCTACAGCTGTGCATAAATACAGCACTAAAACAGGACAGAATACGTCGCACAGTTTCAGCTGCCAGGAATCTCGTGGGACACTTCAGAAAAAGTGCAAAGGCTACAGCTGCGTTGAAAGATCAACAAAAGCAGCAGAATGTTGTAGCGCACAAACTCATAAATGACGTCGCTACTCGATGGAACTCTACATGTGAAATGCTTGACCGACTGGTGGAGCAACGATGGCCAGTGACAGCTGTTTTGTCAGATCCCAGCATCACGAAGAAAGCAGATCGCACCCTGGACCTGACAGCAGACCAGTGGAAACTGGCACAGGAGACAGCAGAAGTGCTGGGGCCCCTAATCACGCTCTCAGGAGGAAAACTTGTCGTTGTCTGCAACAATGCAAATGCTCTTTAACCTGAAAAGACTCCACCTGTCACCGGAGGAGGATGACAGCCCTGCCATCAGCAATACTTGAGAGACACGAATACAATCCAGTCTGGCCCACTTGCATGGTGGAAGCACAACAGTGACCGGTATCCCAAACTGGCATTTGCGGCCAAGCACTGCCTTTGCGTTCCGGCCACTTCAACCCCGTCAGAGCGCATTTTCTCAAAGGCTGGCTACATCGTGAACAAGACCAGAAGTTCACTTTTACCTGAGAATGTGGACAAACTCGTCTTCCTCGCACACAACATGAACAGAGTGTAGGTAGGCTTACGGCTTAGTCAAATGAAGCTTGCAACCTGATTGTGATTTATTTGTTTATTTGAAAGATTGGAAATAAATTGTTCGTTTATTGAAGTGTATGCTGCTGCTGTTATTATTATAGCGCTAATTGCGCTACCTACCTTGTTCTATTTATTACAGTTCGTTTTTCTATATAAAGTATACAAAATATATTTTTTTTATTTAAATTGTTAGTTTATTGAAATGTGTGCTGCTGTTATTATTTATAATTACGCTACCTTGTTCTATTTATTACAGTTCGTTCATTTTTTTTTCATTCTTCATTTATTTACTAAAAACAAATTTAGTGCAAAAAACAAAAAGGAACAATTTTGAGTTTTTTATAGGTTATTATGCTATGATTTTACTGCTCCGGCCCACTTCAGATCAAACTTGGCAGTTTGTGGCCCCTGAACTAAAATGTGTTTGACACCCCTCTCTAGATGATAGGAAAGGAGCTTCAATGCTTCCTTTGTTATCTCCTTTAGGAAAGGATACACTGGACGTAAGCAACCATTCACTTCCTTCTTTTATTTTAAGTCAAACATTTATGAAGCCTGCATGAAACAACATAAGAAGGCACGGGGCAAAATATCTTTCAGTAGTCCGTCTCTAAGTTAGATTACCCAAGTCAGACGCCAATCAATCACATCCTCCATCGCATCATAAATATGTCGCCTAGGTTTGTTTTTTCCTAAATCACATTTTTCCTTATCCCCACGAGGCCTTTTCACTGAAAAGACATAGGACCTAATTTTTTGGATAATTCGACTGCAGCCCAAGCATGTGTTGCCCCGGTTACCTGTTAGCGGTTGACCCACATACTGTACAAATATTCAGTATGTCCTACAGCTACACAGGGTGCAAGTCCAGGCCTTTAGCTCAATGCTGTCTCTTTCTCCGCCTACACAAGCTACACAATTAAGAATAATGTTTTAGAAAAGGAGACATGGCATGACCTTCTTGAGGACTCAGAAGGTGTCGCTGAGCAACAAGAAAACACAGTGGGATGGAGATGGACTGTAAAACGGCATATTTGTTGTAAGTCCAGATGAATTCTTGCTGTCCTTGACAGTAGTTCACTAGTTGTTCCCGGCTTTAAAGCAGAACGCATTCTCACAGTCCTTTACCAATGACTGTGCTTGTTGTTGATTAAAGTAATTATAAGTCAAATGAAGCTGGGCGGGATGTTTTGTCTCTTATTGGAGGCATTAAAAGGCTTTCTGGCTATTTTATTTTCCTAAAGTAGCATAAAAGTACTAACTTTATCGGGTTGTGCAACTCTCCATTATACTTTAACAACTAAATTAGTTTTAACCTTATTGGCCTGTATGTATGGAATAATTACAGCAAAACCTATTTTTATGTTCATATTGAAAACTGAAACGGAGTACGAGCTGGTAGAGAGCCGTGGTCAGATGGGATGTATACTACTCTGTGTGTAGTTATAATATGAACTACGAGTTATGGTGTAAGAAACTAAATGTAAACAAGGGTGAAATTAGAAATCTCCCTTGACTAATTTCTTTCATTTTCTTTATTTAACAACCCTATTTAAATGGACTTTAACATGTTTGTAAGCACAATAAATCTACTATTTATGGTCACTTCAGACAAGAACTTATGTATGATCTGATTTAATATTGACTTTATTTGTTGTAGAAGTGTGTTTTTCATTCTTGACGAATTGATTGTTCATTTCATATTTGTCTTAATGATTGAGTTTATGTCCCTATAGTGTGTGAATGTGTGTTTGATTCATACTTGCCAACCCTCCCGATTTTCGCGGGAGACTCCCGATTTCATAGCCCTCTCCCGGTTTCCTCCCGGGGTCATATTTCTCCCGATTTCTGACAAAATCAGATTTACTCAGGACTGTTTCCACTCAGACTTTAATACAGCTACACCATTGTTTGGTTTCCATGGTAGCGCGTCTCTTTAGTAGCGCGCGCAACTGAAAGTCTGAGAGGGTGAGGAAGATAGTCACAGAAAACAGAACAACAATCGACAACTCGACCCTCTGCTCACTCCTTTCCTGTAAAATACAGGTCCAGCCCACAGATATGCTCCATCAAGGATGGTGCTACTGGCTGCAAGGCAGTGCACTTACAACTACAATAAGCATGTTAATGTCAATCTAATACAGCTCCGGCGATCCACTAGCACCCCCACCCCCCCCGCGGTGGTTTTGAAATTCTCCCGATTTCCGAGGTCTCAAGGTTGGTTAAGTATGGTTTGACTGTTGTTGTGGCTGCCTTCCTTTGTTTCCATCAAGCCGCTAGATGCCTTAAACACACTGAAAAATACTGAAACGTTGACTTGAAATTACACATAACTGTTAGGTTGGTTGAAAGCAATTATATTAAGTTGATATAGTATATATATTTTTTAAAAGACCGGCTCTAAACTGTATTCGGTTCCCCAGAAACATGCTTTGGTGCAGGTAAATGTAAAACGGTGTAAAGTACCTACAAAGGAACAGGGCAGCTAAACCTATTCCCCCCCATGCCCTCCTGTGATGTGAGTCCAGTACCTGCAGGTCCAGAGCGGTGAGCTGCTTCCCCTTCTCTCCTGAGTTGCGTTTGAACTCCTCGAGGGTCCAGGAGGGCAGGCCCCTCGGACCCTCTGACAGGCTGCTGATCCTGAGGTCCGTGTACAGGGGGCTGCCTTTCAAATGGGCCTTGATGGAGGGGGTGAAGGGGTGCGGAGAGAAGACCTGTTCGCTCAGATAGGACTCCTTCGGTGGTTTAGACGGGCGGTGGGCCTGGGGGAACTCGTACTGACGCTCTCGCTCTGCCTGGGGAAGGAGAGGACAAGAGAAGATAATTCAGCCTGCTGAGCTTCTGCTGTAGGAGAACTAGTCTGTCATTTGCCTTTTTTTAGGGTATTACTCATTGTAGTTCATCCTAAATAACAAAACAGAGGGTCTAACGTCACCAGATCGCTGATGTAATTTATGCCAGGGAGAGAAAAATAAAAAGACTAATGAGCAGAAGAAACAAAGAGGAAGTGTGCTTTCCTAACCTGCCTGCGTATGGGGGTTAATCCCTATCTTTATTCAAGAACGTGGTCTTTACATTTGAGAGTATCATTTATTGATTTCATGTTCAGATTATGTATTTCTTTCCCTCAAACGGCTGTCCTCACACTCAAATAGTTCCTGCTTGCTCTGCTTCTGCTCAAACTGTACGCTTGCACTCCGATATATTGCTGCTTACAGATTTCCCATGTTCCAGTTTAAAACCTTCTCCTCACACTCAGGCTGTTTCTGTGCACTCGTGAAATGTCTGCTCTCAGATTTATGCTCTGCGCTTGGATTTCTTGTGCAACAACCCTGTCAAAATCCCTCAACCAATAGGAGGCCAAGTGTCCTTGCGGGTGCGTTCGCTTGACTTATTAGAGCGTCCCGTAAGGGCGGTAACCCCTAGATTCCACCGGGTCCGGCTGCGCCGCGGTGTTCGACAAGATCGCGGCCACTCTAGTCAATGGGTGCTATTCCACCAGACGCGCCGCGTTACGGCTTAGAAGCGTCCCAGAAGCGTCTCGCCGCTGGGATCACCCCTAGATTCCACCGGGTCGGTCTGCGTCGCGGAAGCGCCGCGGTTTTCGGAGCATCTTGCCTGCCGGCTCGCAGTTTTTGTACAGACAAAGTTAATAATAATTGTAATATTCCAGTTGTAGACGACATGAATCAAAGATGTGTTGCTGTATTTTAGTGGTAAAACAATTCATTCATTATCATAATTATTCTATAAATATAATTTACACAGTGCCTGTAAACCGGAGGAGAACGCTGGCATTTCTCCTCCAGACTACGGAGGGATAGGGTCTGCAAATTAGTTTATTTGGGGGATGGGCCGGATTCTGTCACCGGTCCACTTCCTGCCCGCCGCCTCTGCAACGCGTCGCGTCGAAAAATAAACTTGAATCCTATTTCGAGTGGAGCCCAGCGGCGAGACGCTTGTGAGACGCTTCTGAGCCGTAACGCGGCGCGTCTGGTGGAATAGCACCCATTGACTAGAGTGGCCGCGATCTCTTCGAATGCCGCGGCACAGCCGTAACCCGGCCGTAACACGACGCAGACGGACCCAGTGGAATCTAGGGGTCACTCTTTGGTTTATAAATTCCCGCCCTCCACGGCTTTATCACATGTACTTCACTTGTTTCATTTACAACTTTTTGGGGGAAAAAAGCACAGTTAATATATACCAGCGCAGCACCTTACATAATAGCTACGTTAATAGTAGCCGTAGCACACCGTGCTGGAGCAGAACAACAGTCTGGAGGATCACTGTCCAACATGGCGCAAAGTCATATCGTTTTATTTGCCATACTTTTTACGCTGGCAAGGGTGTCGTGAATCAACCACATCAGGTCTTGTTCATTGACAGCTGCATGAACTAACATGCCTATTAACTTTAGCTTAAACCAAGGTGGTAATATTTCAAATGGTTCTTAAATACACACAATATAGTAATTGTAATGTATGCTTCTGTGAGTTTCATTTTCCCTTCATCCATGGGTGTAGCACATGTCCTGTTTAAGTTTAATCACTCAGTGTGGCTAAATAAAAGACTCACATTAATAATAAGGGATGCTCTGATCGATCCGCCACCGATGGTTATCGGCCGATATTCACTCTTAATAGTGTGATCGGTGCTCTCTATAAAGGCCTACCCCTGGAACAACCTAAACTAGTTATAAATATGTTTATTCTTCACTGTCGGGTCACTCGTTACTGGATCAGCGAGCTGCTGAAGGGCTGTCAGGGGAGGGAGAGAGGAAAATAGAGCGCTTCCGCCCATTTCTCCCATGTTATTATTCAAAGTCAACTTGAATAAGGTACTTCATTTGAATGTAATAATGATGTTTGTGGAAGCACATCATGTATTGAACAATGAATCTGAACTTTTCGATCTGTTACGATTATAAACTGAAGCAATATAAAAATGAGCCCCATTAGATTTAAACATCACTTTAAATGGAAGATCTGAGAGCAGACATTTGACGAGCGCACAGAAACAGCCTGAGTGCGAGGAGAAGGTTTTAAGCTGTGAAGGATAAAGATAAGGCAAATGTGGCAGTGAATATAAGATATAGTGGGCCTATCATGGAAAAGCTAAGACATTGAGCTGTCTGAGTGGAAAAGTACAGTACTGTGTTAAAGTCCAACTGCTGAGAAGCCTCAGTGGAAATATACTATGTGAATACTGTGTGCAACAAAAACGCGGGTCAACCAGATTAAGAACAGAGGCATCCTGTTATGTCCAAACTGATAAGCCACAAGGTTGCAGAACTCATTATTCTCACACTAAATCACCCACCAAGCAGGCGCAACAGTTCACAAGGGCAGTCTTGTGAGTGAAACCAGATAAGGAAGTGAGTGAAAGCAAATGAGGAAGTAACAAAAGCGCGCCGAAGGCTAACCTAAGAGTTGCTAGGGTAGCAACGGCAGATTACACCACAAGAAAGCAGCGAAGGTGGGGGGCTCCGCTAGGAACAGTATATAAGCAGGATGTATTCAGTACTCGAGGCTCTCTTCAACTGGGATCTTACACTGACGAGCTTGTCACGGTGAGAACTCAAGAAGGAGTCCAAGGCGCTTTGTGGTATAGTATCAGATTGATGTATCTTTGTTGAACTGTGTAATAAAGTGCTTATTTGAAGAAACAATCCATTGGAGTGCAAAGTCTAGTTTTGTACAGCTAACAGAGAATAGTGTCTAGGACACAATTCCTTTTCCCTCAGAACTAAGAACGGTCATCGGCAGATCCGGACAGCGACCCCGCTCTAGCCATATCCAAACGATCTGCGCGAAGGACGGACCTGGTCCGGTAGACTCCAACAGCTTGGTGACCCCGACGTGATGGTCTAGAGCAGGTAGTCTGGACACCGATGACCTTCTGAGAGGACACCAAAAAACATTGAGTTTACGGCTTTTACAAGAAACCATCTCACACAATCAAAAACCCGGGTAACTCAGAATCAAGGTAAGCATCTGCCTGTTACAACAAATAGATGTGTTTGAAATACCACTAAATTTTAGGATTGTGTGAAAATGGCAGAAATAATTGTCTCAGCTAAAAAGTAAAGATAAAACGTAAATAAAATTGTGTGCACTAAATAGATCAACAAGGGCATAAACAAATCTGTGGTGAGAAGCGGGTGAAACCCGTAATTTATGAGGATCCGCCGCGGTCCAAAGGGAAGGTGTAAACCTGGTCGCCGTACCAGTAGCCATAGTACAGTGTAAAACTAGGCAAGGCCCTAGTATCTAAGAAAAGGTAGAAGACTAGCAGGGTTAGGGTTAGTTAAAAGTGTCAGCTCAACTAGCTGAATTAAAGGGCGTAATCGCCGCTTTGAACCAAGGAATAGATCAAGACATCAATGTGTACACAGACTCGGCATACGTACACGGGGTAGTGCACCACGACCTAAAAAGATGGCTCAGGGCAGGATTCGTAACTAGTACAGGAACACCAGTGAAACACTATCACGAAATCAAGGCGTTAGAGGAGGCTATCATGAAACCCAACAGAGTAGCTGTAATCAAATGCAAAGGACACTCCAAAACCACAGGGTACCTAACCGATGGAAACACTGCCGCCGATCTGGCCGCCAAGCAGGCAGCCGGATACGAAGCCACATTCTCACAAATGGTTGTACGGGCTCCCCAAGAAGGAATACTAGAAGCCAGAACAGATGAGGAGTTGGCTAAAGAACAATCTAAAGCTTCCCCGCAAGAACTAACGGCCTGGAGAAACAAAGGGGCAAGAAAGGGAGCAAATGACATTTGGTACTCCCCAGACGGGAGGCCAGTGATCCCACCAGGGTGGGTAAGAGCTATGATGAAGGAAGCACACTCAATGGCACACGTAGGAAAGAACCAAATGGTTAGGGCCCTGACCCATTGGTGGCACCCTTACCTACCAGATTTAATAGCTAATCATCTTGAAGAATGCAGTATTTGTGGACGCTACAATGTGAGGGCCACCATCAAACCACATGAGGGAAAGTTTCCTGCAATAACAATGGCAGGGGAGGAGATAGTCATAGACTATACAGACATGATAGACAGACACAGGGGAAAGAGGTACATACTGTAGTGGAATATTCCACAAAAAGGGGAAACCGCACATGTGATATTTTACTCTCACATGAGTTGGTGGTTTGCAAATGTAAAACTAAAATCTGAAGATTCTGTTTCTTTTAGGCCTGAAGGACGGAGAGGAACACTTCTTTTCACTGAAGTGTTCACTATGGAAATAATGATAATGATGTCAAATTGAAAATAATGTTCGTTATGTCCCTAACCAATTACCTGACAGTTTTTGTTCCCCTCCCATTACAGGGTTTTGTTACACATGATTTCATGTGTAAAAGGGGGGAGTGAGTATAATGTATAAATCTCAACATGGCTGTAAAATTCACAATTTAAATTGTTCTTTTAAGGATTGACAGAAACCTTCCGCCCCAACCCAGATGTTCAAACTGAGCATTGAATGTAATTAACCTGCTCCATATCTGGGGATAAGATACTGTTTGATGAATGTTGAGATGTTTCTAAATATTGATTTGAATTATAACAGGTAACAAAGAAGTAGTGGCCAAGGGGCTACTGTGAAACCGAAGAAGTTGACCTGTGATAATGAAACAATTTTGTAATATTTTAACAGACATTAGAGTAACTGAGGTTTGAAATGTAGAAAGAACATATTACAGTTAAAGCTAAAACATAGTAGTGTATTGAGACAGAATTTAATTTAGACAACATCATGTAACTAGCCTGGTAAAGAAGTAAAAGCCATAGACTTTATTGTTTAGGTCATTATGGGGATATACATTTCATCTAAATTTAGAATAGAAAGACATTTGATGACAGTTTGTTGGAATTCTGTATTCATTTTTTCAGCTTGATAATGGTTGTTTTTGAATCCATAACATTAGTGTGTTTCTTTACTAGAAACATTAGCAGTTCATATTATATTTAGATTTTAAATAGGATTTCATTTAAAAATAAACACGGATGCTTGTCAGAAATTCAGAGCTATTGAAATATGTTATTTAGTTTATCTAAAGATGTTGGGGTTCTTATTTAGTTGGCACAGTCCAAGTATTACGATTCTGAAGCTGCACTGGCAGATAGGAGGTCTACAATTAATTTAGAAAACCTGTTCACAGACGGCTGTTGTTTCAAGACACCCCACCAACAGGCTCCAAGTGGGTCAAAACAGCTGAGCGTAGGCTTGAGGGAGTTGTATCAGATTTCTCCACACAGGTTGCTGGCGCCAAAAGGGGGACCCGAGAAGCACGAGGCCGACACAGCAGAGTTCGTCTGGCTGAAAGTCATCAGGACAAAGTGGCTCAACCCCAGGCTCTCCGGCCCCGACCGAGTGACCCAGCGGACCTCTTATGCCGTCTGCCTGGGAGAAAAGGGGGACAGCTCGTACCACGGGAGCCAGTGTGCGGCGGGGAAACCACCTGCTAGGACCAGGGGACAACATCAGGACGGACATGGCCCTGGCAGACGTGGACTACTCAGAAGCAGCGGACTGGAGAAGGAGGATCGGGAAGACATCTCTACAGCATCGACCCGGAAGCCGCCATCAGCGGGCCGGAGGCCGAGGAGGAGGAAGACATCTCTCTAGCAGGCAGCCCAGAAGCTGCTGTCAGCGGATCGGGGGGACAAAGACACGGCAAGCCAGGACGGCACAGGGGACTTGTCGAGGCAGCAGAGGAGTCTACTTCTCTCTGATCAGTTCTACCCGTGAAGGGAAAGCCGCATCTCCCCCTCCCTATTAGCTGTCCTTGTGGGCTATTCCTCCGAGGGGGGGGGGGCTGATGATTCTAGCACTCAGCTACCCCCTCATGGTTCCTTCACTGCCATGGAAAGTGGTGTTCTGTCTCCATGAAGGTTTCAAGTACTCTAAATACCAGCTTCGGATGGATGTATACAATGTTTGGGGGACGGACACAGTAGAAAAGAATGAAAGTGGGTATCTTTCAAAATGCCTCTTCTGAGTTTATCTCTGGAGAAGGAGATAAAAAGGGGGATTTGTAGTGGAATATTTGTATGTATTCATATTAGCAAACTATGGATAAGCTTAAAATAGGAATAATTTGGGTGAAACTGTGAGCTGGATATGGGGCCTGTTGACATGTGTTTTTGAGGACAAAGGAAGATGGGGGAAGGTGAGAGCATGTCTTGATTTGCATTCAACTTAGATCTAGCTACAGTGTTTGTGATATTAAGAGAGGTCCCTTGGGTTTCTCTGGTGGTTATCAATAGTAGCAGTTAAGTGAATACTGTTCAAACAATACCTGTGTTTGTGTTTTATATTGATTTCTCTGTTTTGTCCTTTCATAAATGTAAGGACTAAAAATGGCTATAAACATTCTGGGCTGGTTGGAGTAAACAGGGTTTTATTGCTCTGTGGGGGAGGTGTAGGTATGCAGGCCTTGAGACCTTTTGTTGGAAAGTGAGCCTGTTTGGTTTCCTGCTGGCCAGCGTTGCGTCTCCCAATGAGATGACCTGAAAAGATGACCAGCTGACCTAACCCCTAACCCCTCCTTCTTACTCTGGTATATATCCGGTGGATCCCTGGCGTTCGGTCTCTCTTCACATGCTGCCCGAGCGAAAGGATCTCCGCAGCACGGGAACCAGGGCAGGAGTGAGCCGGCAATACTCCTTAACCATTACAATATAATTGTAATATATTATGTTGTATTGTAATGATTGTATTGCATTGTCATATTGCCATTAAAGTAGATTATTGTTAACGGTTACTTTGTAGATATGGATTCCTTCCTGTATTATAACCAGCTTGATAGGGACGCGCGGAGATTTGAAAAGCGGGCCAGTTTGCCCTCCAAATCTCTAACAATACTCATGGTTGTGGATGCCTACACAGGGTGGCCAGAAGCCATCCCCTGTGCAAAAGAAGACAGCCAGTCTGTAATCAACTTCCTGGTACAAACCTACATTCCAAGACATGGGTTCCCCAAAAAGATTCGCAGTGACAATGGAAGCCACTTCAAAAATCACGATTTAGCGGTGGTGGAAGCCTCTCTTGGGCTAACCCACAGATTTGGAGCAGTGTATCATCCACAATCACAGGGAAAGGTTGAGAGAATGAACTTAAATCTAAAACAGAAACTAGCAAAGGCGATGGAAGAAACAGGAATGACATGGTTGGAGGCACTACCTCTCGCCCTATTGGCTATCAGGAGTTCCATTTGCAGGACCACTGGGTTCACTCCATATGAAATGACTCATGGGCACCAGTTTCCAGGCCCAGGGGCGGGAGCCACGGTTTCATAGGAACTGTATGACAAAGTGGGGCACCAGGCCTACTATAAACAACTAAAATGCCTCGTTGCAGAGTTCGCGGACGAATCCACAGCAGCCAGAGCCAAAGGACACACAGAGGAAGCTGAGGGCAGCAGGGACGCTGAATACGTCCGCCTGAAGACGATCAAACCCAAGTGGTGTGCTCCAAGGTTCTCTGAACCACTCAAGGTAACCCAGCGAACAGATCATGCAGTCAGAGTAGACAGAAAAGGAGACACGTGGTACCACTGGAGCAGGTGTGTGGAAGCACCAGCACCTACCAGGACCCTCGCTGACACCATCCAGGACCTAGGCCAACTGAACATCAGGCAAACAACCGAAGCCCCCCAACCCCCAAGTGTGGACATCGACTCCACTTCCGAGGAGGAGGAGACAACAGGGGAACCAACGGCAGCCCAGGAGATAACAGCCGGCGAGGAGGCACAACAAGGGACCGCTCCCCCAAAGTAGGCGGTACACCACACGCATCACATACACACACCACATAAGAGACACTCACCTACACTGATACACCAAAGAACTTTTACAAGAAAAACAAAGATGAAGAAGAACTCAGGACCTAACCAACACCTCTATTGCTTGGCCTTAACACTGTGTTTTTTCATTATTGTTGGAATAATCATTATCATAGTGGGTGAAAGGGGGAGGCAAATCATTGACCAAAGTAATAATCCAAATTCCTTTTCTCCTCCAAAAAGAGGAGATACCTTTTCTCCTCCAAAAAACAGCCTAACTAGACACGTCCGCAATGTGGCCGGCACAGTAGATACGGCAAATTTCAACCAATGTAACCAGAAAGATGCATTGAGACACATCTCGCTGACACTTTGCCTACCCTCGGACTCAAGCACCACTACCCTCATCCCGTACACCAGTTTGTCAAACGAACTCAACCAAAAAGGAGGGTCGTGGGGAAACAAATACCAATGGTACATGACGCTAGACTTTTGGTTCGGAAAAGGCGATCCCAATGAAAGATATAGCTATGGTCGAGCGTGGACCGACTTGGTGGGAGAGACAGGGGCGGATTGGAGTTCATCGTCAACAGGAACAGCGAAAAAAGTAAGGCAAAGAGTACACCTGGCAAAATCCTCATCTGGCCTCGTAATACAGTTAGACTTAACGGGGGTACCCCAACCCAAGAAAGATGAACCCCCTTGCGCATCCTTTTATCTATGGCCCAAGACATCGCCAAGCCCCCAATTCTCTATATACGTATGCATGTCCAGTCGCATTAAAAGACCACAATCTGACATAGTATCCGTCCAAAAGGGGGTGGTGATCCACTCCACTAAGGAGTGGACAACTGATCAAGAGTTCCAAGCAGCAACTGGAATCTCGGGACACACAGCAAACAGCAACAACTGGTTACTGATGGCACAACAAGCCGCGCTAGACACAGGCGATGACTGCCTCATTTGTATGGGAGCCAGACCCCTGCTCCACATAATTCCTGCCCCGGTAGAACCAAGGTGTGCCACTGAAATAATGGGGACAGACAACCCTCAACACAATTGCTCTAAATACGACGTTTACTTCCCTTTAGCCAACGCGGAATTAAAAAAGCCCTTATTCTTTGCAAAAGTTCCGAGGTTGAATTACACCTGTTTCCACACCACAATCAGAAACACCGGGGGGTTCAACAAAACTCTCTGCGACCACATAGTGACACCAACTACACCTGGACGTGGTGTAATCCGAGCAGACATATGGTTCCACTGCGGTGGCAACCAACTCCACGATCGCGTCCCATATAATGCCAGTGGTCTATGTGCACTGGTCACTTTGCTTCTACCAGTGAAAACCTACAAATTAAAAGTAGGGGACATAACAAACCTGGCAGAACAATACCCCTATCATACTACGAACAGAGTCAAACGCAAAGCCATGATTGACCCAGATCCAACGTACATAGACGCAATAGGGGTACCACGGGGCGTACCAAGTGACTACAAAATAGCCGATCAACTAGCGGACGGCTTCACATCCATCATCTGCCCCTGGTGTGTCATCAATAAAAACTCAGACCGCATCAATTACATTCATTATAATATCCAACGCCTAGGAAACCTCACACATGCCGGACTCAAGGCAGTTAGTGAGCAATTGAAAGCCACATCACTCATGGCCTATCAAAACAGAATGGCCCTAGACATGCTCCTAGCAGAAAAAGGCGGAGTATGTGCAATGTTCGGAGAGCAATGCTGCACCTTCATTCCCAACAACACCGCTGCAGATGGAACTCTACAAATAGCACTGGACGGTCTGAAAACCCTCAACTCCCGCATGAAAGATCAATCTGGTATCGACGGTAAATGGGACGAATGGATGTCAGTGTTCGGTAAATACAAAACCCTGGTCACCTCAGTATTGGTATCAATGGCCGTGTTTGCAGCAATTTTGACCTTGTGCGGGTGCTGCTGCATCCCATGTATCCGTTCAATGGTGGACAAAATAATTAGTACCGCCATAGCACCTTCTACTCCCCTGGGCCAACAACTCGCCTTGCTATCCTTAGAAAACAACCCAGACATTGAAGAAGGTGAAGAAGAAGCGGCAGCAATGGACACTTTCCCGACAGCACCACCAGTACCACCGTATGGCAGAATGTGGGAAAGGGAGACAGAAGCCTAAAACAGCTGACATAAATGTACATAAACAATAGCGTTGTTTTGTTGCCCCAATCATTAGAATGGGGCAAAAGGGGGATTGAAGGATAAAGATAAGGCAAATGTGGCAGTGAATATAAGATATAGTGGGCCTATCATGGAAAAGCTAAGACATTGAGCTGTCTGAGTGGAAAAGTACAGTACTGTGTTAAAGTCCAACTGCTGAGAAGCCTCAGTGGAAATATACTATGTGAATACTGTGTGCAACAAAAACGCGGGGTCAACCAGATTAAGAACAGAGGCATCCTGTTATGTCCAAACTGATAAGCCACAAGGTTGCAGAACTCATTATTCTCACACTAAATCACCCACCAAGCAGGCGCAACAGTTCACAAGGGGAGTCTTGTGAGTGAAACCAGATAAGGAAGTGAGTGAAAGCAAATAAGGAAGTAACAAAAGCGCGCCGAAGGCTAACCTAAGAGTTGCTAGGGTAGCAACGGCAGATTACACCACAAGAAAGCAGCGAAGGTGGGGGCTCCGCTAGGAACAGTATATAAGCAGGATGTATTCAGTACTCGAGGCTCTCTTCAACTGGGATCTTACACTGACGAGCTTGTCACGGTGAGAACTCAAGAAGAAGGAGTCCAAGGCGCTTTGTGGTATAGTATCAGATTGATGTATCTTTGTTGAACTGTGTAATAAAGTGCTTATTTGAAGAAACAATCCATTGGAGTGCAAAGTCTAGTTTTGTACAGCAAACAGAGAACAGTGTCTAGGACACAATTCCTTTTCCCTCAGAACTAAGAACGGTCATCGGCAGATCCGGACAGCGACCCCGCTCTAGCCATATCCAAACGATCTGCGCGGAGGACGGACCTGGTCCGGTAGACTCCAACAGCTGGAACACAGGAAATCTGTGCAAGCAGCAATATATCTGAGTGCAAGCGAACAGTTTGAGCAGAAGCAGATTAAATCTAAGTGCAAGCAGGCACTATTTGAGTGCAAGGACAGGGTTTGAGGGAAATAAATACATAATCTGAACGTCAAATCAATAAATGATGCTCTCAACTTTAAAGACCACGCTCTTGAATAAAGATAGGGATTAACCAAATACCTGCGGGTCATATGAAGCCTGCACTAATATAAACCATCATTCAAGTCTTCCTTGTCTGCAATGTGCAAGATTAAGATTTTTTTCAAGACCATCAGCCGCATTATTTCGCTAATAACGTTCCATATCCACATAGAAAGAGATCTTAATTCTTGGCAGCCAATCAGAGAAGGAATAAGGCAGTGACGTCAGAGTTTTATTTCAGGCAGAGCAGCATGTCACTGTGGATTAAGGCACGGCAGAACAAATCCTCACCCGCATAACATATACAATTGAGTAAATGTCATTAAAAAGTCAATGCAATAGTAACCCTAAATCAAAACCACAAAAACAAAATTGTAGATATAATTTAAATGCTAGGTAGATGTAACTGAAAAGGAGACTATTATTTAACAAAATAAATGTGTTAAATGTACTAAATGTTTAATTAATTAAAACTGGACTATTAATTATATAAATACATGTGTTACATTTACTTATTTTTTAACTGTATTTACCCTTTACTCCAGGAGTGCTTTACCTGAGGTCAATAAATCTAATAAAACCAAATGATAAACATAAAGCAATTGTACACATTGACATTTTAATTATACATTTATTGTTCATATTTGACCAGTATAACACATACACATGACATTAAGTCTCAACCTGGTTTACTTTACAAATTACATTTGTAACAATTAGGGGCTGTTCTTGACAAAATACATTCTTAGTCGACTAACACTCATACAAATTTGATGACTAATTGATTACTCGATTTAATCAACAGATTCTTCACAAAGAATCACATAAAAACACTACTTTAAATCTTCGTCCACCAAAACCACCAATAAAGTTGACTAATCGACTAAGAAGAGGCAGCCCTGGTAACAATGGCCATGCTATAAAAACGATGAGCTGAATTGAGCTCTGCATATAACTAAGCGGTCCTTTAAACATAGGTAAAATGCAACAAGACTAATTGCGAGTCAGTAGAGAAATCTTAGCATTAATGGAAATCTCAACTTGGATTATATAATAATAAAACTGTTAGGCATTTTATCTAGCTTAACTTTAAACCAGGTATATGTTTGCCAATGAGCATGTGAACATTTCCATTGAGCTATGGGAGCAACGGGCTGAACTGAACTCTGCATATGACTGAAATGCACCAAGAACAGTGACACTTTACAACAATACCAGTCCAAAATGCAATTAAATCAATGGAACTCTCAACACACCTTTTAGCATCTTGCTGAACAGTAGTTGGCAACTACATATGCAGGCCATTTGTCAGTCTCTGAACCTTGGTTGAAAGGTTTCCAGGATCCAGCTCCAACAGTAGTTTTTGGAATACCTCAAAACTATATTTGAGATTCTTCGGGTATCTCGGAGCCAAGGCATAGGTCAGTGTGCGAAAAAGTACACGTCCCACCGTCCGGGACGTGCTATTTACAATATCGGACAAGTAGATCTTTCAATTGACTTGTCCGGCGGACAAGTGACGTTTTTCGGCCTGATTTATTGACAAATTATTGATACATTCAGTTTACAAAAGGCAGAACTCATTCGCAAATTGTCCGTGTCCGCCATTGTTCGATTAGAAATGTTAGCTTCGGTTCTGCTTGTCGATTCCTAAGGAAATGCATATCGCCGCTTTCTGTACTGTTAGACGGGGGCGGGGCGGAGCGTGGTGAGAAGTGTAGCACAGTGGCAGGGTTGGGAAGCAAAACTCGGTTCCGAGTAGGAAAAAATAACAATTGTCCGGTACAGGGATTAATAAGAGTTGTGAGGACAGGAGGCGAGGCCGAGCCCCGCGGACTGCAGCTCTCTCTATGCTCCGTATCAGCTGATCGCTGCATGGTGCAGCCGTGCAGCTCAGCGTCTCTCTCTCTCTCTCTCTCTCTCTCTCTCTCTCTCTCTCTTTCTACATACAGCGGATCCGCTGCCCGTTTAACAGCCTCATCTTTGTCAAACTTTCTTATGTTCTTTCTCTAACACATAATGAAGGTTATTAAGCGTTGTAACTCCTATGTTGTTAATATTGACCACCATTTCCTTTATGAAGTAAAGCAAGCGTCTTTGAGTTGTAGAAAAACGCTAGGCCTATAGGCTATACATCTAATGTGTCATTATTATTAGGCCTATGTGTTGGACATGTGTGGTTGGACTCTGTCTCACAGGCAGGTTGCAGTGTAACATCAGAGGAGACTGGGCCAATTGTACATTCTCAAACTGCACCACTTATGCCCCGGCCACACGAGGACGAAAACGGCCGTTTGCGTTACTGTTTAGTGTCATATAGACCATTCGGCCACACGAGGACGACCGCATACGGCACTAAACGACTGAGGAAACGACAACGGGTCCCAAGGTGGATAGAACGGCATACGCAACGCTCTGGGGGGTCAAACGGCTCTGTGTGTACGCCCTATACGAACATGTTCTGATAGTGATTGCGCAATAGCAATAGCCCCGCCTCTCCCCACCTCTGCTGCTCACCTCCGCGTACCCCGCGCCATTGCTGATGTGTTTCGCCACCAACAACAACAACAATGGCGGATCGCAGAGTTGCTATCGTGCTCCGGACGCTACTGACCATGCTACAGTTCTTTGTGCAACATATACAGCAGACTTACACATCCGGGGGGATCTTACTCGCTGCTTTTGTGGATATGTACTGCAGCTTCAGCGATCATTTTCTGATAATGATTGCGCAATAGCCCCGCCTCTCCCCACCTCTGCTGCTCACCCCGCGTCAAAGTAAACTGCACACTGAATTTAGATTATTTATCTTTCTCTCGATATAGACATAAACGCGAGTGAAGTCTAATCTGACAGGACGGAGACACCTCTCAAACTACCTAGTTATAAATATGTTTATTTTTACTGTCGGCCGGGTCACTCATTACTGGATCAGCTGCTGCATGAAACAGACACTGACGCTGTCCAAAGAGAGGGTGGAAAAAGAGAGGCTCCGTGTATTTTTATTATTATATTATATAGAGTCGTTATTCATTTGTTTTAAAGCTCAATAAATAACAAAGAAGACCTTTGACCGGCACTTTTATAATTTTGTCGGAAGGTTTAAACTTTAATACACGTTGACTGGCGAAAAACTCTGCCCGGTTCCCTCGGCCCCCACCGCGGAGAATAAACAGAAGGGCAACCATGACAACCATGCTTCTTCGCTGCTTTTGTGGAGGAAGTTACAGCGCCACGTACAGGCTCCTGCATATGTACTGCAGCTTCTCCAGCGGTTGGAGCTAAACGGAGCGGTCTCGTGTGAGCAGACACTATCCGGATAACTATTGCGTGTGGACGGAAGCTTGTTTGCAATTGCGTTTGCGTTAATCCTATGCGTTTAGCCGTTTTCGTCCTCGTGTGGTCGTGTGGTCTTAGAACTAACTAAACAATGCAGAGATTATTTTTATATAATTGTATTCAATAACCGTAAGAAATTCAACAGTATGAAGTGATTTGTAAATAGGAATACAGATTTGACTTAATGTTTTCATAAATATATTTTTCTCCCAGTTTGTCATGGGACTTATTTTTACCCTCTCAAAGAACCGGAATCGAGAACCGAAAATAACCGGAATCGAAAAGCAGAACCGGAATCGTTAAAATCCAAATGATACCCAACCCTATGTGTGATGCAGTAAAATCTTACCGCTCACTTACGTTAGCGGTGTCGTAAAAACCGTGGGAAAATGTAAAATACGATGACGAAGAAGAAGATTCCAGTGGCCCCAAATTTTTGTCCATTCTGGACAAGTGAAAAATGTATTCGGACAAGTAAATTGCCAAACTCACTTGTCCATGGACAAGTACTCTCTAAAAACTTTTTCTCACACTGAGGTTAGTCCAGAGGTTGCGCTAGACTTTTTCACTGCCCGTCATTTTGACGGACAGGATCGTAAAATTTCCGTCAAAAGTCAGCAGTATTACCAGTCGGCCTTTACGCTCTGGGGGGGGGAGAGCACGGTCGTGAACTGTCAACCGGGGGGGGGGGGGGGGGGAGAGCACAGTCGTGAACTGTCAACGGGGGGCGGGGTGCACGCTTGTGAACTGTTAGCGCCGTGTTATGCATGCCCACTGCACCTCGCGGGAGTGCGCACAGCGTAAAGCCAAAACTAATTTCAATGATTTGTAGGGCAAAGTTGGGTTTGGCAAAGGTATCATTTCCTTTTTGGCAGGCATGCTTAACACCGGAGCCTCGCTGCGGGGAAACTTTGGCGCTGTTCCGAGTTTGTTCTAATCCGTCAAAATGACGGACTGCTTTCAGATTTTTCCGTCTTTGTTAAAAAAAATCCGTCATAGACGGAAAATATTCGGTTAACGCGACCTCTGGGTTAGTCAGTCAAGACAAAAAACAAATCTCCAGGTTCATTTTGAAATCTATAAAGAGAGACTTGGCTTTTATAATTTGGAATTGAAAATTGCACGACAGTCTTTCTTCTCTGACATCATTGCCAAAAACAAAAACAACTCACGTGCCTTGTTTGCTACCGTCGACAGACTAATAAAAAATCCAGTGTCAGTAGCCTCTGAATTTCTATCCACCAGGGCCTGCAATGATTTTGCCTCCTTCTTCACTGAAAACATTCAGAAAATTAGACAAGCAGTCAGTGCCTCTGCATCAGGAACAGCAAATGTTTTGTTCCTGTGTTCACCTAAAATCAATTCAAACACCATGATAAAAATAATGATAAATAAACTTGACTTGGCAAAGGTTGGGGATGATCAGTTTTATCAGTCCATCTGTATGGAAATTGATTTATGGAATTGTTA